AGTCGATGCAGAGACGAAGAGTTCCATCCGCTTTGCGAGCAAAGAGGACGGGTGCACCCCACGGGGAGTTGCTGGGTTTAATGAAACCCAGTCTCAGAAGCTCCTCAAGCTGACGCTTGAGTTCGGTGGCCTCAGGGATCGAGAGTCTGTAGGGTGCCTGGTGGTGAACACGATATTCAGCCACGAGCTTATTGGAGTGCTCGACGTCACGAATCGGTGGGATGCCGGCGTACGAGAAGGACGATGGGAAAACGTCGTGGTACTCTTGGATGAGGTCACGAACTGCGGGCTCCAAGTTAGCCGTATATCGTGCGAGTTCCTCAGCGTCAGCGACGGCGGGGTGGACTCGACGGACGGCGGAGGGACGGAAGTAGAGATGGGAGCCATGGAGATAGAGGGGGGATCTGGGTCCAGAGGGATGAGCTCGGCGTCGGGACATGGTGGGTCATAGTGTAAGAGATCCGTCACGTCCACCATAAAGAAGGTGACGTCGTCCTATCGAATGAAGTGAGCGAACTGTCGAGGCGAGGTGACAGTGATAGAGGGAGATGGTGTGGGCACTGAAGGCTCCGGGGGAGGGGGATCGGGGCGTGGTATCGTCGTGGTACCTATGAAAGGTACGCGATACGTCTTTCCACACTTCGTTTTGAGAACGAGAGTGTTGGTCGCCCAATCGGCCTCGGTGCTGCGGAACCGACGAGACCACGGAGTGCCGGGAATGAAGTCGTACCCCGTCTCCATCACATGGAAATGTGCAGAGGAGCGGTGGCGACGAGACGCCGGGGAACGCTTAGTCGGTTCGAGAGTGAGGAAGAAGGGGAGGTCGGTGACCGTCTGATGGAAGAAGCGTTGGGTCTTGTCATCCCCTAGGGTAACGGAGATGGGAGTCGGAGACCCTGTCGTGGGTAAGCGGGCTTCCTTCACCACGCGTGGGTGAATGAAGTCGCCCTGAGAACCGGAATCCCACAGCGCTGAGTACACCCTTGTGGAGATCCCGAGTCGTACGGGGATGATTGGGAGGGTGCGATCAGGGTCAGAGAGGATGGCGAGAAGGCGACGCAGTGCAGCGACATGGAGGGTGAGTCGCTCCTGACGAGCCTGGAGCATGCTAAAGTCCAACAGAGAGGACACAACGTCCTTCCGAGTAGCAAGCTGCTCGCTACAACGGGTTAAGCGAATGGCTCGACGCGTCGGTAGTCGCGGCGGGGAAGGAGGGGAGACGGTGGTCTGCGGAGGCGCAGACAGTACTGCGACAGAGGGCGAAGTACACTCTGTCGAGTCCTGCGATACCTCAACTCCAGTAGCGAGAGGGGCGAACCGTGACGGAGATGTCGGAAAGCCCACTACTGAGAAGGGCGCAGGTGTACACTGCACCGTGGTTAGGAGGCGCCGCGGGGACGTGAGGCGCCGGGGGGGAACTGAGCACGACACTGACGAGAAAGGTCAGCGTAGTGGCGGTCGAGGGCGGTAGTGTAAGGGCACCGCGAGGAGGTATGACCGTCCAAGAGGCAGTGCAAACACCCACGCCGGCCCAGAATAGCCGCGGGCTCCTCAGGGGAAAGGACACCACGAGGAGGGACGAAGCCCTGAGGAGGTGGGGAGAAATGGGTTATCTGATTTTTCAAAAATTTTGGCAGCATTTCGTTACCCCCATAGGGTTGAAGTGTGCCGAAAAGACTAAGTAAGAGAAATCAGAAAATTTCGGCAGCACTTCGTTACCCCCACGGGGTCAAAACGTGTGTCGAAAGCAAGAAAGACTAACACCTGATCAGATTTAGGGTTGCCGCCAAGAATTTTCAGAATGAGTAAAAATAAATAAAATAAATCAAAAAGATAAGAAAAGAGGGTTGGGAAGAAGATGAGGAAACTAACAACTAATCAGATTTAAGGTTGTCGTAGAGAAAATCGAATTTTCCAGAATAAATAAAAAAATAAAGTAAATAAAT